CCATTCTAACGGGTGTAAGATGATATCTTAGTGTAGTTTTGATTTACATTTCCCTGATGATTAGTGATGTTGAATATCTTTTCATATGCCTCTTGGCCATCTGTATATCTTCTTTGGAGAAGTGTCTGTTCATTTCCTCTTCCTGTTTTTTGATTTGGTTGGTTGTTTTTTTCTTGTTCAGTTGTGTGAGTTCTTTATATATTATGGAGATTAACCCCTTGTCAGATATGTGATTTGCAAATACTTTCTCCCAGCTGGTGGGTTGTTTATTAATTTTGATCCTGGTTTCATTTGCCTTGTAGAAGCTCTTTAATCTGATGAAGCCCCACATGTTTATTTTTTCTTTAGTTTCCCTTGTCCGAGTAGGCATGGCATCCAAAAGATTCCTTTATGACCAATGTCAAATAGTATATTGCCTATATTTTCTTATAGGAGTTTTATAGTTTCAGTCTCCTTCAGGTCTTTGATCCATTTTGAGTTAATTTTTGTGAATGGTGAAAGCAGATGGTCTACTTTCATTCTTTTGCATGTGGCTGTCCAGTTTTCCCAGCACCATTTATGAAGAGACTTTCCTTTCTCCAGTATATGTTCTTAGCTCCTTTGTCAAAGATTAGCTGTCTGTAGATGTGTGGTTTTATTTCTGGGCTTTCAATTCTGTTCTATTGATCTGTGTGTCTGTTTTTGTACCAGTACCATGCTATTTTGATTACTATTGCTTTGTAGTATGTTTTGAAGTCAAAGATTGTGATGGCTCCAGCTTTGTTCTTCTTCCTCAAGATTGCTTTAGCTATTTGGGGTCTTTTGTTGACCCATATGAATGTTAGTATTCATTGTTATATTTCCGTGAAAAATGTCATTGGGATTCTGATTGAGATTGCATTGAATCTGTAGATTGCTTTAGGTAATATAGATGTTTTAACTATGTTTATTCTTCCAATCCATGTGCATGGAATATCTTTCCATTTCTTTATGTCATCATCAATTTCTTTCAATAATGTCTTATAACTTTAATTGTATAGGTCTTTCATCTCCTTGGTTAATTTTATTCCTAGATATTTTATTCTTTTTGTTGTGATTGCAAATGGAATTATCGTTTTGAGTTCTCTTTCTGTTAGTTCGTCATCAGCACACAGAAATGTAACTGATTTTTGTAAGTTGATTTTGTACCTGCATAGATTTTTAAATACCACTTTTCAGACTCTACTCCATTCACAGGAGTTCTTGTCAACTTGCATTATATGTGAATAACACAAATACTTAAAGACATTCCCTCTGGTTAAATAAGAAAACCTAACAGTTTTCCAAGGCATGCAGGATTAATCACACATAATAATTACACAAAGTGACAACACACTTATTATAAAAGCATATACACACCATTAAACAAGCAGTGGCAGAAACTTCTAGGAAGGAGGAAAATAAACATTAATTGGTGATGATAAAGGGAAAGGAAAAGACACCCATAAATATAAATTCTCGTTTTCACTGGAGAAATATTTTGAATCTAAGGATTTTGAAGTTTTGGTTCTTCTGTGTCTGTGTTGGCCCCTTTTGTCAATGAATCATCTGCAGGGAAACACTTGGCCTTGAGAGTCTGCTGGTAGCCTGGCACATAGAGCAGATTACTAAGCATCTTGTCTTTCATTTTCAATTTTATGCTTTTAAACACTTCTCGATGCCAAGAGAGTCAAGTGAGACTGCTATCCAGCGGAGAAATTTTTAACACAACAAAATAGATTTAGATGAACAGACCATTTTAATAGTGTGCTTCTCAGCCATGAAAAAAAAAGATGAAATCTGGCCATTTGTGACAAAATGGATGGACCTTGAGGGTATTATGCTAAGTGAAATAAGTCATGGAAAAAGACAAACACCGTATGATTTCACTCATATGTGAAACATAAAACAATAACAACAACGAATGAATACGTAGATACAGAGAACAGATTGGTGGTTACCAGATGGGAAGGGGGATGGGGGAGAGTGTGACAGGGGTAAAGGGGGACATCTGTACAGTGATCGATGGAAACTAGACTTTTGGTGGTGAACACAATGTTTCAACTATACAGAAGTTGAAATACAATGACGTACACCTGAAATTTATATAATGTTATAAACCAATGTGACTTCAGTAAAAACATATATATATATATATATATGTATTTATATATATAGTGTGTGCCTCTGTTTCCACAAGCTTCTTCCACTGTACCAGAAAGTATAACGGGTAAGGGAATTCTCTGGTTAACCTACGTTATGTTAAAGGAGGTACTCTTTTTAAATTTGACTCTGTAAGTTTAACGCACCAAAACCAAACCAATGGAGCAAAGAAACTTTTGGTTTTCACCAATTCTATTTCTCTGAAGTGAGTCTCCTGGTCACTTTATAGTTTATATTGTCCCTCATCTTCACAAAATCATGGTCCATGTATTCCTTTTGTATCCCTAGATTTTCTTTGTGTGCTGGTACATTTGCCTCCTAGTTCCTCCTGTCAAAAATGTAAATATATTTATACATTACTGGTGTCCATCATGATCCTCGCACATTTCTCCAGGTTATGGGTGAGTGGATGTGGCTGGAAGTGTTCACTCGCTCAGTTTCATTGGCATTTCTAGTAGTAAGAGAGATACAGCTGGAAGGTGTAATGATGTCTTATTAATCTTGTTGACTTGGGTGATAACCTATGTCCCTGTGCGCACTCAGGAACTTCAGCTTCGCCATTCTCTGAGAAAGGGTTTCTCCACCAATATGTGCAAACATGCTCTGAGAGCTCAATATTTTGAGAAAAAAATCCAATTACATGTAATAATCATGCCATTCAACACTATAGTTGATACTCGTTCCATTACATTTAAACTTTTAGAATACATTGAGAGCTCCGAGCTGGGAACCAAGAACTTCAGGTTATAATGCAAGCTCTACTGTTAAGTAGCTGCAAGGTTTGAGGTATGCTCATTATCCACTCTAAGCTTCATTTTTCCTCCTCCTAAAATGATGAAGACACGCAGATAATGCATTTAAGTAATTCAAGTGAGATGCATGACAAAAGGGTCTGGTGATTTTGGTAACTGTTGGGACCAAGTCCAGCTTAAGGGTGTGCAAATTCATTTTTTAAAGAATAACAGTCTGTTAGCTAAGCAACACACATTTGGTTTGGATTTAGCTTGGGAGGTCTTAGTTTGCAATTTATGCTTTTTAAGCAGCTTCTTAGGCCCTTTCCAATGCAAGCTCCTTTGATTCTACAAAAGTCCTCTATGTTGATATTCAAACTAATTTAGTGGTATGAAACCAAAAGCAGATATGTCTTATAGAAGAAAAGTGACGGGTTATTTGTGTCATTTTCTTTGACTATATAGCCTGAATAAAACTTGTGTTTTTCCAAACTTTATAGTAAATAATATTGTGAACAGGAACCATCAGTATGGAATTTTCCCATTAGCAGTATACACAATAGGCCATTGAAAGAGTGCCACCATATTGGTTGGTGAACCTCATTATCCACTGCCCTTTTTCTGTATTGACTTTTCACTCGCAGTCTATGTTCTGGCTCTATGTGTGGGGATAGTTAAAAGCATAAGAGGCTCAGATAGCGATATTTTAGCTTCTTGTCAAATATTTACGTGTCATGGGTAGGGTCTTGCAGAGGAGTTGTGATTAGTTGCCAAGGAATATCAAGAATCAAATGCAATTGTTAGTATTTAAAGGTTTTTCTGTTTATTTCTGCAAATGCAGAGGATAAACACTGTCAGTTCAAAGTAAACTCCAGAGTATATATAATTTTCAAGGATGGTAGTCCTCTAAAGTTTTGCATTGTTCAAAACAGACGGCATAGTGCTAGGTTTTTTGCCAGCTCTTTGGGGTTAATAGTGCCATGTGTAAAGAATCAAGCAACTGCCTTGCCCTCTGCCCACTTTGCAACTAATTAGAAACTTCCATTGAAGAGCTTAAAAGCTAATGGAGACTTACAAGTGAAGAAAATAAACCTAAACAGAATAAATGCAATCACAGCTGTGAAGGAAACAAATTCTGAGTTTCATATTTGGAATAAACAGGAAAACATGAACAACTTAAATTTGAGAGAGAATAATAAAAGCACAGTATACGGAACACAAGCTACTGTTCTGCAAGATGCTGTGTTGAGCGACGTTCAGAAGATTTTGATTAGAAGCAACCATTTGTCTCAGTCACTTGACAACTATTTCCTAATGTTGCCCTCCCTGCCAAATATTTTTCCCTCATTCCCACCAATGTAATTAGGAAGCTAATTCCATCTAATGATGATTCCCAATTGGTGATAAATACTACTTGCTCTATAGCTTTGTTAATAATCCTCCCCTCCCTACCTCCAAGACAAAGGTAGGTGTATGGAAGCTCTGTTTATCCTCGAAATGTGTTTTCTTGATAAGAGATGACATTAGTATTCACTCTATGGTTGTTACCTTCTTTACTCCTTCCCTTCTGCTTCCTTATCTTCCTTATTTTACTTCCCTGTTCATTCTTCTTTTTCTTTATCATCATTTAGACACACTTCATTGCCTGGAGAGTTGAGTATTTTTAAGGTCCTCACAAAATACAGTAATAAGCATTATCCTTTCTGTCAGTAAACTACAAGCTTAGGGGACCCTGGCACAGAAAAAAAAATAAAAATATAAACAAAATAAAAAATAAGATTAATAGAAACAGAATATCTGCTGGATTTGATGAAGACTTAGGAGGTGACTTTTTGTAGGATAGTAGGTGGAGCAGTGGACAAAGAGTTAACAAATCTGGGGTCTAGTCCTTGCTCTGCAAGTAATTAGCTATAACATTAAAACATTGATTTTTCCTACCCTAAAGGCGAAGGAAAGAAAGCAACACAAAATGTGATAAGTGCTATAAGAGAAATGTCAACATTTGCCATCGGAATACAAACAAGGTAAGGTGTTATTCTTGCTTCTGGGATAGGGAAGAGTTCATGGAGGAAATGGCATTTGAACTGGGCCTTGAAGATTATGAGGAATTCTAGTAATTAGAAAAGAGAGAGAAGAGTAGAAGAAGAGAGGCATTTCAAATTTAGTCCACCATATCAGCAAAGGAAGATACCAGCTATTATTCAGTAATGCAGAGGGTCTAGTTCAACAAAGGCATAGAATGTTCTCCTCAAACTGTTGTAATATTTACTATAGTAATTCCCAGGGCCTCTCAAGTGGGTTGTCGTGTTCTGCAAAGGTTATGCTTTCAACCAACATTTAGTGAATAGGGTTCAATTTCTTTTAACTGAGATATTTTCATGTCATCTCTATATTACTGTTAAATTCTTTAAATTTTGTTTTTTGTTATTATAGTAGTCCCCCTTATCCACAGGGGATATGTTCCAACACCCCCAGTGGATGCCTTAAAACCATGGAGAGTACCAAACTCTATATATACTATGTTTTTTCTTATACATATATACCTATGATTAATTTATAAATTAGGCACAGTAAGAGATTAACAACAAATAATGGAATAGAACAATTACAACAATATACTATAATAAAAGTTATATGAATGTGAGCCCTACTCTCAAGTTATCTTATCGTACTGTATTCACCCTTCTTCTTCTTGTGATGATATGAAATGATACAATGCCTATGCAATGAGATGAAGTGAGGGGAATGATGTAGGCATTGTGATGTAGCCTTATTTTCAGACAGCGGTTGATCGTGGTAAGTGAAACCATGGAAAGTGACACTGCACATAAGGGAGGACTACGTTATTTTGCTATTTTGCATCATCAATTAAGCAAAATGGATCAATGATTCAAATGGTAAATTGAGCCCTAAAAATGGGGAAGAAAATAGTAAATACAAGAAAACATATCATGAATAGGACACTGGTGAGAAGCAAACAACAGAAATCTTTTAAGTAGTAGAACACTAATCTGCAAGTATGATGAATTTCTCAAGAACCTAGAATGGAAAACCAAAGATCAGGATTATGATGATGTATATTGGAAAAATCAAATTTTATTGGACCATCAGCCCACCAGTCTCTAACACTGCCTTGTCTGCTATGAAACATGGGCAGGAAGATTTCCAGGCATTTGCTTATTTTTGTTTGTTTGATTAACAGAGCACACAATGACCTCTCATAAACTAGCAAAGAAGTTAAAGACAAAGTTATTCCAGGAAAGAAAACAGAATGAGACATTGGCAAATATTCTCGGTCACATGCCCCTTTTGGTAAGTAGGCAAGTAATCATTTCACTGGAAAGTGGTATGAAAGAGCAATTACTATCATGGATGTGTACTACCAATTACCTGCTTTACAGCTGGAGGAAAAACTTGAGGTTCAGTGTATGAAAACATGCAGGTCACATGTAAGCCTGAGGAAGAAGGTCTCTTTTGTTCATCACTAAAAATCATGCTACAGGAAAAGGAATATTTCATTTCTAGTAAGGCAGTTTTCTTAGTTGTCACATGGATTTCAAAAAGTGTACTGGGATTAGGCCTCATGGACAGTGAAGTATAGGACAAGAAAGACCAGTTAAGTCTATAAAAGAGTTTATATCTGAATGATGATTCCTATATCATTTTATTTGCAGAGATCAGTTGGCATTCAGCAATATACCTAAGACTCTTGATTCCATGTTGAATAGAAGTTTGAAAACTGAGACTATGTACAATCTTGTAATTATGCACAATGGCACAATCATGTGCAATTATGTATACTTCTTTGGGCAGTAGTAGCTTTCTTTTTCAGCCTGAAGTATGCTACTTTGAGGGAAAGTTATGCATCAGGGATGAAACAAAAATATGTCCTTTCAAGGCATTGAAAATGGCAGAAAAAATACCTACTATGATTTCAAGAAGAAAGCTCAAATATATATAATGAATATCTTGAATAGCATGAAAGTATTGTTTTCTGGACATAGTATGGGTGTTTTTAACTTGAGGATGAGCTATCAGTATTACTAAGGACATCATGATACAAGTGACAATCACTATGTTTTATTATCTTTACCATCACTTAATGATGTTCTTCACCCACTGGGAAAAATAAATTAGTCATTTATTATTGAAAATGTGACCACAGAATATGAAGAGATGCTGTCCAGTACTAAATGGAACTAAATAGTATACTGAGTTCATTCTTTGCTATCTTCTTCTAGTCCGTACTGCTCTCAAAGGTTGTCCATTTACCAAAAGTATTGTACTATCTAGTTCAACTTGACAAAAATTCAGCTAAGAGGATACAAGGTCTCTCAATATAGGTATTTTCATGTCAATTACATGTCAACTGTGATTTTCATCAGTGTTGTGTTCCATCACCAAATCTTGAAAATGTGAATGATATGCTGCTTGATTTACGATTTATTACCTCATTGAAAATAGTCTTTGGTGAGAACTCTATGCAACATCCAAATGTCCATTCTCTTATCATTTTCCCCGTTCTACTTTGACCCAGCCTCAATGGCTCCATTAATGTTTTTTGGACCTATCAGCCCTAAGCCTTTACTCTAGCTGTTCCCTTTGCCTGGAACATTCCTTCTCCAGATATCCACCTGCCTAAATCTGTCACCTCCTTCAAGGCTTTGCTTATATCTCACCTTCTCAAGGAAGACTGCCTTGAAACTCCTATCTCATTATCCCTCTTACTCTATTCTGCCATTTTATAGCACTTACCACTTTCTAATGTACTAAATAATTTACTTATTGGTTACATATATCATTTATTGCCTGTCGTCCCCCTTTAGCATATCAGTTCCTCAAGTATTGGGAATTTTGGCTGCTATATTCTATGGACCTGATGTATTCAAGTATCTAGAATGTTTCTGGGAAATAATAGGTGTTCAATAAATATTTTTGTTGACTTAATTAATTAGTTACCAAAGAGTTATAATTATGAGTTAAAGTTGCTTTGTTGAATAAAAATGCTAAGTGATAAAAGAAACCAACTGGATGTGGACACTGACAAATGGCTCAAGCTGTCAACAGGCCAGATGTAGATAGCTTTGTGAAAGACTGAAAACCAAATAATCCCACTCCTGATGTTTAATAATTAATACTGTTTATAATAAGACTATGATATAATATCATGCTTTATTTTGATAAATTTACATCATAATAAACGCTTTTTTTAATTTGGATATAATTGGTGGGTCTTTTTTTTTTTTGCCAAACATCCATTAAATGGTTTACATATGCTAAATTGTTGAGAAACCTTAACATATTGTATATGAAAAAACCCTAAGAGATGATGTTAGAGACTAAAGTTTAGACCAGATTGTGGACAAAAGTGCTTTCAAATAATCAGTAGGAATTAATGAGAGCCAGTATCAGAGATAACACCAAGGATATGACTGATGAGAAAAGAGTTATAGATATTTCCCAAACACTTAGTTTAATTGGGGCGTTGAGATGTCACCCTGTACAATTTTGAACAAATATGTGATACTTTCCACTTCTTTTTACTTCATCATATTTATATTCCAGAGTTATCCAAAGATAACATGGATGGGCACTAGTAGGTAAAATGGAAAATTTCAGTAATAAAAGACTATGTGTCTTAGTAGATGAAAAAACATACCAATAAAAATATAGATTCAGATATAGATAAAAATCATTTCATTTTTGTTGAACTCAGCGTCTGCCAATATTTTATAGGAACAAACTAAGCAGAAGCCTACTGCTAAACGATGCAGTTGACTTAACCCTCAGTCTACTCATATTAAACTATCAACTTGGATTCATTCCTTAGATAGCTATACCTTGCAAAAGACAAACACAACCCTTGTGAAGCACTGGCACACAGGGCAGATCATGAGAGTGGAGGTAAACGTGGTGTGGGGTCACAAGACGTGTGTGGAAGAAAGAACTAGGAACTCAAGGAGATAACCATAGAGTGCGAATAAAAGATGTGCAAGGCTTAGAAAAATATAGGGAACCTGAACCTCTGTTCCAAGAAGACCAAGCCTAACTGAGTGACACTCCAGGGTTGAAGGCCCCAAAGTGAAAGCCTAAATTGGTGAGGAAAACTGTGAAACGAGTTATGCCCGTCCTGAGAATCACGGCATTGTGAAAATGCAAAGAAACAGGATTGGTTTGCATTCCCTGACTTCCAGATCTTCTCTATCTCAATTTATCATTCTTTCCTAAGTTTTCTACTCTCTTGTTTCTGTCCTTTAAAGAAAAGTGAATAGCGCAAAGTGAATATATTGATTATAAAGAAATACGGCTAGTGTTGTCGGCACATATGGGAACTTATACAACATGTATAACTTATATCTGTATAGCAGGGCTGCTGTTCTGCGAGTTTGGGTGTAGATAATAGCTTATTTGCATGACTGTTGACTGACATGACAAGTCCTTATGTTAGCTAAAAGAATGATTGATTTTTTTAAATGAGGCAAGAAATAAACAATTACACATTCTTGCTATGTGCTTGGCACTGTCCTGTTCTCTT